CCCAAGCCAGAGTTTAAAGGCTAGCAGTACTTCTACCTTAACATGTTTTTTAATACAGACACAAAATGAGGCAGCTTGTTCCGACTGTCAACAGTGATCAAAGGGAGCAGACACGTTACTGTGTGATAAACAGGAGCAAAAACAGAAGTTGCTGGAAATGCTCAGGAGGTCTGGCAGCATCTGTGAAGAAAAGAATCAGAGTTAACATTTCGGGTCTGGTGACCCTTCTTCAGAACAGTTCTGAGGAAGGGTCACCGGACCTGAAACGTTAACTCTGTTTTTTCCTTCACAGATGCTGCCAGACCTGCTGAGCTTTTCCAGCAGCTTCTGTTTTCATTCCTGATTTACAACATCCGCGGTTCTTTCGGTTTTTACATTACTGTACGATGCTAGTCTTACACCTGCACCATGTGCCAGCCAAGTATGTGGCAGATGCACTGCATTTACATGAACAGGATGGCCACATTTCAAAGCCTAAGGGGATTTATCCTCAGTTGAGTTCACGGAGATACCCTGCCATCAGGCGGAGCTGAACCATAAACCTCTGATATCAGTTTTAAGGGCTTTGCCACGGTCAATCATCTATTCAGGGTGTTTACAGTCGGGGGGTCTAACCCTGTACAGTCCTGGGAGTGAGCTCTGTGCATCCAGTCCCTGGGAGACATTGGAAGTCAGTCAGCGAGTTGTACAGATATTAGTCAATGTCTTATCATTCATCGTTCCGATCTGCCTGGTTAAACACTTAAAGAAGTGGCCCACATTCAGTCCAAGGGTTCCATCCACTAAATGTCAATGTGGGTTGGGGTTTTTTATTGGGGACATCGCTACAGGAGTTAGGCTGGAGAATTCTGTTGTATGGATTGGAAATAGCATGCTAGGATATGATGGGGGGCAGCAACTCAACATGTAAGGGAGGAAGATGATAGAGCATTGAAGAGAAAGAGGTAATACACCACGGGAGGGGGTATCAATTGTCTGTCAGGATAGTCACCCTGGCTTCCATGGGCGGATATGCACTACTTTATCTAGCATATTGACCCTGGATACCAGAGGCTGGAGCCGTAATGTAGAGAGATGAAGCTTTGTTAGAGAGGTTGGGTCCACGGACATAGAAGTCTCAGTATCACATACAGCGCTTTTTTATTCTCTTGATAATTTTCAAAAACAATCATTCATGGGATGTATGCTAATTATATCTGCAATCATGGACACTGGTCAACAATAAAGTCCTGTCCATCAGTCACATTTGATTTTGAATCATATTAACAATTATTTTAGTAAGATTCACTTGATGTGATTTTTTTGTCATGAGTCATGCTATCTCCTTCTAAATAAAATGAAAGAAGAAAACAAAACAGTCAGCCTTTCTTACCAATTGGGCTTTATGATGTTCATAATGTGGAGGGCCAGCTCAAGCAATTCTTACAACAATTCTACTTATAAATTCTAGAAGGATCCTGAGTTCCTGCAAAGATTTTACTAATTTCCTGCCATCAATCCAGCAGAATCCCTTAGGAAATATGAGAATCATTCAGGGGGATTTCAAAGCCCATGTATTTTAAAGATTAGGATGTTTTGGTGAGATTTGTAGTCATTGATGTCAACAATGGGTGCTCTATAGAATCTATTCAATACCAAACAACCCTTTGATAATGTAACCAAATGGAAAGTTTTTACTGCTCTTCTCAATCTCAGTTTATTGTTCACTTGCATTTTCTTTCCCTTTTATTTGTTTGTGATACTTGAAACTATCAATTTTTAAAAAATTGTAGCCATTATTTTTTGAACCATGTTCCCCCAATCCATGAAGAAGTGGACTTGAGTGAGCATAGAGCATGAAAGGGATTTACCAGGATAGGTTTGACACATGGATAAAAATGATACCTGATGAACCGACAGAGTACTGTATTTTAAGATTAATTTTTGAAAGTAATACCATGGTCTCATATAACATAGGTATGCAGGGAAAATGAAGGGTCTAGGCCCGAAATGTCAGCCTCTCTGCTCCTATGATGCTGCTTGGCCTGCTGTGTTCATCCAGCCCTGCACCTTGTTGTCTCGGATTCTCCAGCATCTGCAGTTCCTACTAACTCTGTCTAAAATTGATGACTTGTTTGAATGCTTTGTGGCTACTTTTACATTTCACATTTGAACTTTCGAATAGATAAGGTTTTCATGTTTTGTAGCATACTGCAGAAGGGATGGAACCTTTATCTGTCTGTTCTCAAAGACAAATGCTATCCGGAGTGGGGATTCTCTTTGCTAAGAGTTCCCACTTTCCTTGTTTATTTGAATGAATATGCTGAGGCTAACGTGATCAGTGAAATTAAGGGTATCATATACACATCACTATCCTGTGTGTTCAGGCTAGATAAGTGCCCCAGACCACTGAAAAGAGATTTTTTTGATAATTTCTTCATAGGCAGTTTTCACAGGAGGTAAAAGGGCTATAAATAAGGTACCCTGGGCAATGTACATTAGCAAAGAGAATGAGGGAGGGATTGAGGAAAATAAAGCTATGAAGTTAGCAAGTGAAATTGTGTGCAAGAATATTGTGTGCAGTTTTGGTCTCCTTTCTTGAGGAAGGATGCTCTTGCTCTCCAGGGAGTGTGGCGAAGGTTTACCAGGCTGATTCTGGGGATGGTGGGACTGACGTATGAGGAGAGATTGACTAGGTTAGGATTGTTTTTGCTGGAGTTCAGATGAATGAGGGAGGGGGGATCCCATACTTATAAAATTCTGACAGGACTAGACAGAGTAGATGCAGGGAGGATGTTCCCGATGGTGGGTGTGTCCAGAACCAGGGGTCACAGTATGAGGATTCAGGTAGACCATTTAGGATGGAAATGAAGAGACATTTCTTCACCCAAAGAGTGGTGAGCCTGTGGAATTCATTACCACAGGAAGTAGTTGATGCCAAAACATTGAATGTATTCAAGAAGCAGCTAGATATAGCACTTGGGGCGAATGGGATCAAAGGTTATGGGGAGAAAGCAGGATGAGACTATTGAGTTGGACGATCAGCCATGATTGTGATGAATGGTGGAACAGGCTCAAAGGACAGAATGGCTTCCTCCTGATCCTATCTTCTTTGTTCCTATAACTGCATTCTTTCATGAAAGTATTAATCAACTAAATATAACCAAAGAAAATAACAGATAAAATAAACTTTGAGTGTAAGCTAGAGAGCAATAGAAAAACAGGTATTAAGAGCTACTTTAACAATGTAAAATGGAAGGGATGCTGCAGTGAACATAAGCCCCATAATGAATTATGGCTTCTGGATTAGGAATAATAGGCATCCAGGAAAAGACAGAGGAGTTGAATAAATACTTTGCATCAATTTTCACTGTAGAAAATATTAATAGTATTCCCAAAACAATAAATAAATAAGCAGCAAAAGTGGGGAGGTAGTATGTACAATAACTATTGTAATTAATGGGGTGAAAGACCAAGAAGTCCCCTGGACCTGATGGGATGTAACTTAAGACATTAACGGAAGTAGCTACAGAGATAGTAGATGCACTGGTAGCAATTTTCCAAAAATCCATGGATTCTGAAAAAGTCCCAAAGGATTGGCAGTTTTCCAAACAAACATCCTAATTTAAAAAGGATGATAAATATAGTTAACTATAGGACGATTAATTTAACATCTATCAATGGAAAAATTGTATACTTTATGATAAAGGATACAATAAAGCTTTTAGAATAACATAATATAACCAAGCAGGCTTCATGTAAAGGAAATCATGCCTGGCAAATTTATTAGAATCTTTGAGGATGTAATAAGCAGGATAGATAAAAGAGAATGAGTAAATGTTCAGATTTCTAAACAGCTTTTGATGAGGTGCTGTGGATAAGGCTTCTTAAGACCCCATTGAGTTGGGGGTATTTTATTAGTATGGATAGAATATTGACTAATAAATAGAATACAGAAAGTTGGAATAAGGAGGGCTGTTTATAGGATGGCAAACTGTAACTAGTGGAGTGCCACCGGGATCAATGTTGGGGCACAATTATTTAAAATATATAGCAATGACTATGATGATGGAAATGAATGTCTTATCACTAAGTTTAAAGATGACATAAAAAATAGGTGGGAAGGCAAATGGTGAAGATGATACAATCAGTCTGTCGAGTAATATAAACAGATTAAGAGAGTAGGGCAAAACTTAGCAGATGGACTATAATGTGGTAATTTGAGAAGTTTGTGCTTTGGCAGGAAGAACAGAGGGTTGAATACTATTTAAATGGGGAAAGACTGCAAAAAGCTGCAGCATCTAAGGATATGGCAGTTCTCATGCATGAATCACAAAAAGCTAGCATAAAAATTCAGCAGGTAATAGGGTAGACAAATGGAATGTTTGCCCTTATTTCAAAGGGAACGGAATAGGAAGTCTTGCTAAAATGATACAAGGTACTAGTTAGACCTCACATAGAATACTGTGAAAGGTTTTAGTTTCTTTACCTAAGAATGGCATTGGAGGCAGCCTGGAGGAAGTCCACCAGGTTGATTCCAGGCACATAGAGATTTTCTTATGAGGACAGGTTAAGTAGGTTGGGCCTGTACTCAGCGGAGGTTAGAAGTGTGACAGGCAACCTTATTGAAACATACAAGATTCTTAGGCAGTTTGATAGGGTGAATGCTCAGAGGTTGTTTCCCCTTATGGGAGAGTCTAGGACCAGACAGCATAATCTCCAGGTAAGGAGTTAGCCACTTAAGACAGAGACAACGAGAAATTTATTTTTTTGAGGGTAGTAAATTTTGTGGAATTCTTTACTGCAGAGGCAGTAGAGGCTGTGGCATTGAGTATGTTCAGTGCTGAGATTGACAGATTTTTAATAAAGGGTTATGAGGAAAAGGCAATAGAGTTAAGGATCATCGATCAGACATGATCTCATTGAGTGGTGGAGGAGACTCAATGGGTGAATGGCCTACTTGTGTTCCTGTGTCTTATAGTCTAAATCAGAAACAAAGACCAACTTACTCAAACAGTATAATAACCTCAAATTTTTATTAATGTTTATTAAAAATTTTAATAAATAGGTACTGGGTTAAATACAATTGGCAAAAAAAACTCCAAAAGTTGGCATCTAGTCAGTACTAAAACAAAAATATAAACAAATCTAAAATCATTTAAATAACAAAGATAAACTGAAGATAATTTAATGCAGTTCAAAATTTGGAATACTAAATAAATCTTACAGGTATGCATCACGAAAACAAATGTCCACTTAAGTGAATCTGTACCATTATCCAAAACTTCACTTTGTAATGACAAACAGCTGTAAAAATTTGAGGCAGCCATATTATATGACATTAGGACCACAGTCCTGGAATATCTAACTGGATAATATGAATAAAAGATCTTATTTTAATGTGAAAACCATCACTTTTTAAAATCAGTAACCGGTTTCACTTATTTTATTCCAGTGGAATCTCCATGGCATAAGGAAGTCTAAGCAAAATATACTTAATCAAAATATAAAGTTGCCATTTAATAGTTACTGTATATAGTTATGAACTACACTCATGAAATCAATACTGATTTCTTAGTAGCTATGTTAAAACATTGTTAAATCCAGCCTAAGAAGCTCATTTGCATTTATTAAACATGTTATTAGCCCATTTTACTACAGGTATGCCTCAAGAGAATATCAAGATGGTAAAATCTCAGTTTATATTGTATGGTCAAGTATAAGATGACACATCAATGACAGTTATTAATAAGAAGAGACAATTTTGGGAATGGTAGCAAAAATACTAGTCACAGCTACTGAGAACAAACATATTAAAAAATAGCTTGTATATAAAACTGAAATCCTAATTCAATACAAAAATATCTTTGCAGAATAAAAAAAATCTTCATTATGACTGACAGTATAGTACAGATATTTACAGCATAAAATGGGCATTACATAAGATTGAATAAATCTCAGTGCCACATTTTATTGGGCCTGTTTGAGAGATTATATAGGAAAATATAAAATTAATAACACCATATTTAGATTCAATAATTCAGTAAACTTTAATTCACATTGTTTATAAAGGAGTATTCTTTTTTCCTATTTGCTTCATATATCATCTTGTAGCTTTACTGTAGCTGGAAAAAAACTGTTTTATGGTTCACTTCTCATTATATTAATATGGTAGATTTGATCCTGTGAAGTATATGTAAGCTCACGAAAGTAATTATGTACATATGTAAATATATGCTCAATAAAGATGTTAAGAAAATCTATTTGAAAATTGATCAATTGCAATCTCCAATTCGAATATTGTGCAGTCATTTGAAAATGAGAAAGGGCCTAAATGTTGCTGCTGTTCTGTCACACATCACAGAACAAAAATATGGTTGGGCAAGCTCTTTTTTTTTTAATAAGCAGTGTAATGCAGAAGTTCAAACCTACTTTAAGCACAGGCTAGATGTTATCTGAACAATTGGAAAAATGCTGATATTTTAATAACACTAAAATGTTAAACAAGCTGACAAATGTGTATAGAACATTGAAGTGTCATGGAGTTATCACAATTCACTCCAATGACTAGAAATGTAATAAAAAAAATTTGCCTTGAACTTAGATTGCTTCATTTCAAAATTCTGCAGAGTGATGAAATCAATACTGCAAAAGATTCAGCTTGCAACTTCAGATACGCTCTTTTGGTGAGAACTGTAGCTCCATTTGTGAAACATTCAACTGGCTTTCGTAAAGGATACTCCTTAAAACAAACTTCTAAAACCAGGAAGAAAAAAATAGTCAGAATTTTTAATTGCAACATGTAATCAAACAATTTCAAATTTTATAAAACTTTGTATGAACCTGTGTTTGAGACAATTGAACTTTATATATGAGAAAATGACACACTATTTGGCCTTAAATATATGCTGCATCATCCCAACTCCATAAATGCATCCCCTCCCCACTTCATTTCTCCATCCAAAGGTATGTTACTTCATTAAAAAAAATGCATTCATATGATATAGGATTAGCTGGGAAGGGTGGCATTTATTGCCCAATCCTAATCGCCCTTGAGAAGGTAGTGTTGAATTGCCTTCTTTAGCCACTGTAGGCTACGTGGTGTAATACATCCACAGTGGTCTTGGGGAGTTCAAAATCTTGACTTAGTGATGGCAAAGAAATGGCAATATAGCTCCAAATCAGAATGGTGTGCGATTTGGATGGGAACTTGAAGATGCTGGTGTTCCCATGTATATCTCTGCTGCCTTCTAGGAGTGGCAATTAAAGCACTCCATACATATGTTTAACTGTATCATATTTTTGGAGTTCTTTTCTTCAGCCTATCTTTCTAGTTATCCTTGTTCTGTATGTTAATAATGCTGGGCCAGGAGGCAGACACCCATGACACTGTTGAGCTACTAAGATTTAAAAGGTCCTAAGAATTACTTTGAACATTTCTGAAAATGCATCCTGTAGACACATTGAATGCTGGGAAAGAAAAGAGCTAATTAAATGTGAAGCCTAATAAAAACTAATTCCATACCAGGTGTGGAAAACATACCTGCATGGCTACAGATCTGGAGATCATTTCTTTAGGGATGTTAGAACCTTTGTAATTTTTCTTTTTTAAAAATTACCTTTGGTTGAAAATGTGAGCAGCAGTTTGTTAAAAAAAAGAATAAACAAACTGATACTTGTTTTTAAGACATGGCCTGGAAGTTAAATGCACATTGATTCTTGCTTAAAGAACATTATAGACATTTTGGATCTAGAGATGCATTGTGTTCAAGTGTTGGCAGATGTTTGGATATTAACAGGGCCATCACAGGACAGTGCCTAACACTCTAACAAAATGAATGTTGAAAAAGCACAAAGAGAAACCAAAGTTAGCACTTTTTTTTTGTCAGAAGGTTGTGAAAGTTACAGAATGGAGGTTTGATTGCATTCTGGTTATCTTCCCATTAGTGACTTATGGCAAGTTCAGAGAATAGAATCTCAGTTATAAGAATTGAATAAATATTCCTCAGAGCCAATGGAAACTATTTACATTGACTTGTGACTTCAGAAATCAAGCAAGATATAATCCCAAATGCCTGTAACACTATGCATCGTGGAAACTGTTCAAGTGATCTGGCCAGTTACATCTCTTATTTATTCTTTCAATTTATCCCTTAGCTGTGTCTGTCTATGTGTGAGCGTGCGCTATAATCAAAAAAGACTGTGTATAAATTACAGACACTCATTAGATTACCTTGTTATTTAACTTTACTCAGCTAAAGCTACTGCATTAATAATAAATTAATTCTTTCTTTTAAGCTACAAACACTTGGTAACTCGTAATAGTAATTCAAAACATATGGTTTGAAACCATTGAGGCAATTTTGATGGCCATTAAATGCTTTAATTTTACCATGCTCCAAAGACAGGGATGGGTGGGGGGCAACTAGAGGTGGGGGGTGGGGTTTATTTAATTTGGCTGTTGGTCTCTGTGTCATAACAGAGGACATAAAGGTATTATGCCTTATCTGTACCACAGCTTTGTTATCAAAAACCAGAAAGCCAGACAGTAAACAAGTAAACAGAGATAACAAGGTGTAGAGCTGGATGAACACAGCAGGCCAAGCAGCATCAGAGGAGCAGGAAAGCTGACGTTTTGGGTCTGGACCCTTCTTCAGAAATGGGGGAGGGGAATGGGACTCTGAAATAAAGAGAGAGAGAGGGGGAGGCGGATGGAAGATGGATAAAGGAGCAGATAGGTGGAGAGGAGACAGACAGGTCAAGGAGGCAGGGATGGAGCCAGTAAAAGTGAGTGGAGGTGGGGAGTTAGGATGGGGGTTGGTCAGCCAAGGGAAAACAGACAGGTCGAGGAGGCGGGGATGAGGCTGGTAGGTAGGAGGTGGGGGTGGGGTTTGAGGTCAGAGGAGTGGATAGGTGGAAGAAAGGAAGGACAGGTTAGGGAGGCGGGGACAAGCTGGGCTGGTTTTGGGATGAGGTCGGGAGTGTGGAGATTTTGAAGCTTGTGAAGTCCATATTGATACCATTGGGCTGTAGGGTTCCCAAGCGAAATATGAGGTGCTCTTCCTGCAACCTTCGGGTGGCATCGTTGTGGCACTGGAGGTTTCTGGGAGATGATGTTTTGGTGGTCGGGGGTGGGGTCATGATCAAGGGGGCGGTAGGAGGAGGTGTTAGAGAGCTGGCGCCTGGCCTCAGCAATGTAGAGGTTCTCACGTACCACCCCACCAACCTCCAGATTCAACGCATCATCCTCCGCCACCTGCAATCTGACCCCACTACCAAGGACATTTTTCCCTCTCTACCCTTATCTGCCTTCCGGAGGTACCGCTCTCCCCGCAACCTTCCCCCTCACCTCCATCCCAGGCCCCAGGAAAACCTTCCACATTAAACAGATGTTCACCTGCACATCTGCTAATGTGGTATACTGTATCTGCTGTTCCCATTGTGGCCTCCTCTACATCAGGGAAACCAGCTCTACACCTTGTTATCTCAGATTCTCCAGCATCGGCAGTTCCTTCTATTTCTGAGTAAATGAGTAACCTGTGTTTCATTGAATTAGACATCATTAGGAAGAACAATAGGGGTCTCTTGCAAATGTGATTTTCTTTATCTTGTCAACACTGAAGAATCCCTGTGTAAAATTGGAAGATGCATCACTGACAGATGATGACGTTTAGAAAATTACTTTATAATGCTATAATAGAATATAGCTAGATAGAAATGGGGCATTTAAGCCCCTGAAATGAGGGAAGTGATATTTCATTTAGCTGGTTTAGACAGTGCCATCAGATGAAAAGTTAATTCACCAAGATACAAAGATTCTAGGAGGAATGAATAGCATCTCAACAGGGTATAGACCCCAGTGTTCTCACTGAGGTTAATGAATAGGGTCTGGCGATGACACTTTGCTTCGTTGTCAGGAATATCTGCTCTTTGATCAAAACTTGCAAGCATAATACTATACTATTAACGTGTAAAAGAGTAAATAAAACATTAAATTGCAACGAGATATTTTGATTATCTAGCACGTCTCATATACCACGAGACTGTTAGATTTTATTCAGGGTTTATAAACTACTCACTTGTCATTTAACAGTCAGTACAATAGTCTGATACTTTTTTAGGCGAGCCCATATCGTGTGAATGTGAAACAGGGCTCACTGATGTTCTGAGTGGAGATAAGGAGCTGATGGTAGTAGAAAGGCCATGCCGACGCATCTCTTGAATTGCACGCTCTCTGTGGAATGAACAATTTGACAGACAAAAAGATCCCTTATTTCTGAACATGTCTTCTGGAAACTGGTGACTTCAGTAACTTCATTTTGTGAAATCAACAGCACATGCTAAGCAAATAATTACTATAATACAAAGTAACATTCTGTCAAAATGGTAATGTGTAGCTTTTGGAAACATAGAATCCCTACAGTGAGGAAGCATTTGGCCAATCGAGTCCACGATGACCAATGAAGAGCATGCCACCCTGACCCACCTCCCTACCTTATCACTGTAACCCTGCATTTTCCATGGCTAATCCACCTAGCTTGCACATCCACGGACACAATGGGCAATTTAGCATGGCCAATCCACCTAACGTGCACATCTCTGGACTGTGGGAGGAAACCGGAGCTCCCAGAGGAAACCCAGGCAGACACAGGGAGAATGTGCAAACTTCACACAGACAGTCAGCTGAGGGTGGAATTGAACCTGGGACCCTAGTGCCTGTGAGGCAGCAGTGCTAACCACTGAGCCACCGTGCTATGGTGGTAATTTTTCTCAGCTACATAAACCTATGACAGATCATTAAAGGACGATACAACAGTGAAAACACAATAATCTGTTCTCTACAAGTTAACACATTTTAAAATCCTCAAGTAGTTCAATATAATCATTAAATCTACTTTGTATTTTAAACATTACCTTTCAAAACGTTCTGTCGTTAGTTGACGTTTGATAAGGTCAAGCTCCGCTTGAAGTTGCGAAGACTTAGCACGAAGCTGAGCTATTTCTCTATTCTGGCTTGATCTGAGAGTAATTGTTAGTTACATGAGATATAAGTAATGCATCAAAACTTTACAAACAAATCATCAAATAGAGTAACAATTTCAGATTCAGTCGTCCAGATTTTTCACGAGATATGCTTGTACTCAGGCATAATAGAAGTGGACTTGTATAACTGCATTAGAAGCAATTCATCAGACCTTCCTCATTCTATCATTTTCAGGATTTACTACTGAAAGCACTACATACTTGATCTTATATATAAAATTGCACAGAAATTACAACACAGCCACAAGCTCTTCAGCCCAGCCTTTCATTGCTTTTGTCTTCTGCGCAAACAGTCATCATAACCTCATTTGCCCATCCTGTACTTTGCCTTTCATGAAGGTATCAGTTATGGTTCAGTGGTAACATTCTGCCATCCAAGCCAGAAGATGGCGGGCTCAAGCCCCACTAAGAATTGACACAAAGCATACATACACACATACAACACTCCGGTACAGCTCTGAGGGAGTGCTGCACTGTGTAGTGCCAACTTCTAGTTGGTTCATTAATCAGAGTTTCTATCAGTCTTCAGGTGAACGTTAAGTACATCATGGTAGATGAGTATGAGTGCTCTCTCAGGACCCTGATCACCAATTATCCCAGCAAGTCTCTGCAGTGGATCTTGAATTCACAACCTACTTACTCAGAGGAGAATGGTATCAACCTAAATCAGTGATACCATGGTGAAAAACAATCTTAAGGCTGTGAAATGTCTCTACTTAAACAATACTTAAGTTTGATATGATCAGTTAAATTACATCAGTTCAAAATGCTGGAGGTCTTAGAAAATATATAAGTGGATAAATCTCCGGGATCTGATCTACTGTATCCCAGGATGCTGTGGGAAGTTAGGGAGGAAGTTACAGGGGTCCTTGCAGAAATATTTCTATCATCTATAACTATGGGTAACGATGCGCCTTTGTTCAAGAAAGGATAGAAGGAGAAGCCTGGGATCTATTGACTTTTGAGTCCAACTTCAGTGGTGGGTAAGTTGTTGGAGGTAATTCTGAAAGATAGAATTAAATGCATTTGAAGAGGCAAGGAAAGATTAAGGAAAGAACAGCATGGTTTTATGCGAGTGAAATTGTATCTCACAAACTTGACTGAGCTTTTTGAGGAAGTAAACAAGATTATTGATGAGGGCAAAGTCCTACCACATTGTTTACTTGGATTTTACTAAAGCTTTTGACAAGGTTCTACATGATAGACTAATTAGTAAAGTTAGATCACATGGGATTCAGGGTGAGCTTGCCAATTGAATTCAAAATTGGCTTAACAGCAGGAGACAGAGTAGTGGTGGAGGGTTGTCTTTCACACTGGAGAAGGTTACCAGCGGTGTTCCATGGGGATCAGTGCTGTTTTGTCATTTATATAACTGATTTAGATGAGGATACAGAAGGCATGGTTAGTTAGTTTGTGAATGACACCAAAATTGGTAGTACAGTGGACAGTGAACGAAGTTATCTTTGTAATCTCAAGAGATCTTGATCAACTGGGTCAATGGGCTGAGGAATGGCAGAAGGAGTTTAGTTTGGATAAACGCAAGGTATTGCATTTTGGTAAAACAAACAAGGACAGGACTTATACACTTAAAAATAGGGGCTTGGGTACTGTTTTAGAACAGAGAGACATAGGGGTTTAGGTACATAGTTCTTTGAAATTTGTATTATAGGTAGACAGGGTGGTTAAGAAGGCATTTAGCATGCTTTCCTTCATTGCTCAGGCCACTGAGTACAAGAGTTGGATGTCATTTTGAGGTTGTACAGGACACTGTGAGGCCTCTTCTGGAGTACTGTGTCCAATTCTGGATGCCCAGAATGGAAGATCTACCAGGATGTTGCTGAGAATGGAGGATTGGAGTTAAAAGGAGAGGCTGGGACTTTTTACACTAGAGCATAGGAGTCTGTGGGGGTTGGGGATGGGGGTGACCTTATAGAGGCTTGTAAAATCATGAAGGGTATAGATAAGGTGAATGGCAGATGTCTTTTCCCTAGGGTGAGGGATTTCAAGTCTAGGGGGCATATTTCAAAGGTAAGAGGAGAAAGATTTAAAACAGACATGAGGGGCAATTTTGTTTACACAGAGTGATTCATGAGTAGAATGAACTTCCACGGGAAGTGGTGGATGTGGGTACAGTTACAACATTTAAAAGATATTTGGATAAATACATGAATAATAAATGTTTGGAGGGATATGGGCCAAGCACAGGCAGCTCAGACTAGTTTAATTTGGGATTATGGTTGGCATGGACTAGTTGGACTGAAGGGTCTGTTTCTGTGCTGTATGACTCTATCACATAAAAGACCAAGATTGGAAAATCAGCTGGTCAAAGTTCCAACACTGCAGAGGCCAGAAATCTAGGTCAATTGTCCTGGTGTTGCTACAAGAATGGTGAAAAATTGAGGTTCATACCTTCACCCTCACTCAAAGCTTCCAAACCCTAGGTCACAAACAAAATACATGTCTAGTATGTTTAAATTGGATAATGAGTAAATGTACACTTTGCTCAGAACAATTTCTACCACTATTTGACTCCATTTCTCTAACATTTACTATTCCCCAGAGAGATTGTATGTAATTCAATTCAGACAGTGCAACTGAAACCATAATATATGTTGAAGTGTTTTTGGCAAATCAAATTGGGCAGGAAAATAATTCACATTTTTGTTTTTAGATGTTATCTATTCCCAGAATATAAATTTAAAAACTTCTACTGAAAATGCAGATACATAAATCAGTTAGAGACTGATTTATTTCTATTTAATACTTCTCATTTGTTTTAAAAAGCCTAAAGTGATGTACTTCAATTGTCTAACTTGTCCTCCGGCAAAGTTCTCTGTACATAACACTAAAACAAAAAGGATTCTTCCTGACAGTGTATGCAGATGTGACTGAGTTACAATTTCTGTACAATTTTATGTATAAGGAGGTCCGGTGTATTGTGATTCAGGAGTAAATTGTGAAACTGATGGTATGAGCAAAGTCTGTACGGGTAGGGTAGGGTGAAAAAGAAAAGAGCACACTTGAACTGAAAACTCTTTGTGTAGTACTCACATTAAAGAAAGAATTAATGCTGTTGAATTGAGATTAATTGCTCATTGCCTTAACACCCTATTGACAAAAAAGTCAGACTCAGTGCACAGAAACAGACCCTTCGGTCCGACTTGTCCGTGCCAACCAGTTATGAGAGAACATAGAACAGCACAGCACAGGAACGGGCTCTTCGGCCCATGTTGTTGTAAGGGAAACTTGCCCCTCACATATCCATTGAACATTCCCCCTCTCACCTTAAATGCATGTCCCTTGGTATTACACATTTCAACTCTTGGGAAAAACACTGTCAATCCTATCTATGCATCTCAATTTTATAGACCTCTATCAAGTCTCCCCTCAGCCTCTCCTGACCCAGGGAATACAACCAGAGTTTCTCCTATCCTTGTAACCCATACACTTTAAACCAGGCAGCAACCTGGTAAACCTCTTCTACACCCTCTCCAAAGCCTCCACATCCTTCCTGTAATGCAGTGACCAGAACTGAACGCAATACTTTAAGTCTAGCCTAACCAAAGTCTTATAAAGCTGCAACATGACATCATGACTCTTGTAAAAACCAAAAGAACTGCGGATGCTGTAAATCAGAAACAAAAACGGGAATGGCTAGAAAAACTTGGCAGGTCTGGCAGCATCCATGAAGAGAAATTGGAGTTAACATTTTGGGTCCAGTGACCCTTCCTCAGAACTTCTGAGGAAGGGTCAGCGGACCTGAAACATTAACTCTGATTTCTCTTCACAGATACTGCCACACCTGCTGAGCTTTTCCAGCAACTTCTGTTTTTGATCCTGACTCTTGTACTCAATTCCCTGACCAATAAAGACCTATAGTACCCTAAACAGATCTAGTCCCTTTTGCCAGCATTTGGACCATATCCCTCTAAACCCTTTCTAATCATATACCCATCCAGATGCTTTTTAAAACATTGTAATTGTACCAGCCTCCACCACTTCCTCTAGCAGTTCATTCCGTACACGCACCAGCCTCTGTGTAAAGAAGTTACTCCTCAGGTCCTTTTTAAATCTTTCCCCTCTCACCTTGAACCTATTCCCCACGCCAGGAAAAAGACCTTGTCTATTCATCATATCCATACCCCTCATGATTTTATAAATATCTATAAGGTCACCTCTCAGCCTCCAAAGTTAGCCTCCAGCCTATTCAGCCTCTCCCTATAACTCAAACCCTCTATTCCCAGTAACATCCTTATAAATCTTTTCTGCACGCTCTCAAGTTTGCCAACATCATTCTAATGGAAGAGTGACTAGAATTTTACACAGTATTCAAAAAGTGGCCTCGCCAATGTCCTGTACAGCTTCAACATGACATCTCAACTCCTTTACTCAATGTTCTGACCAATGAAGGCAAGCATGCCAAACGCTTTCTTCACCACCATCTACCTGTGACTCCACTTTCACGGAATTATGCACCTTCACCCCTAGGTCTCTTTGTTCGTCCTCACCCACCAGGGCCCTACCATTAATTTTGTAAGTCCTGCCCTAGTTTGCCTTTCCAAAATGTTACATCTCACATTTATCTTCTGGCCCATTGGCCCATCTGATCAAGGTCCCATTGTGCTCTGAGGAAATCTTCTTCACTGACCACTCTAACATCTATTCTGGTGTCATCTGCAAACTTACTAACCATGCAGATCCATATCCATTTATATAAATGATGAAATGCAGTGGACGCCGCACCGATTCCTGTAGTACACATTGGAAATTAAGATTCTAGACAAATTCTAAGAAGTTATAGTAAAATTATTGAACGACTTAGCAGATCTCTACAAAATTTCCATCAGGTAAAAAAGACATATATTACTCAAACAATAACAGACACAGGAATGGACAAAAAAGTGAGAGACAAATGCAACGGAAAAGGCGGGGAGGGGGGGAAGAAGGAGAGAGCAAGAGAGCAAGGGAGAGAGCGA